ATTCCCGAAACGCTGTCTCATTCCGGGAATCCCACCCTGGTAGCAGGAAGCCGCCATAACAGCGCATCGCGGATGACCTCAAACTTTCTGGCTCCCACGCCAGGGTTTTTGTTTGAGGTCGGGGAACTTCTCTTTCGGACTCACGTGGGTTGTAGGAGGAAACCAAAGTTAGGACAGGACATGAGACGACGAGGAAAGCAACTTGGGGTCCTTACTAAGTGGAACAAGGGGTTTAGGGTGTAGGGTTTGGGCGTTTAGGCGTTTAGGTTTTCGGGTGTACCGTAACTGCATAGGGGGATATAGTTTCACGCATGAATGTCATATACCTCTTCAATAGCATTCGGCACCTGGTGCTGCCTCTGATAGGCAAACCCCCTAACCCCTGAAATCACACACGGGCAACTTGGAGGTAGCTTGCAGCGGCAAGGACTCGACTGAGATGGGGTGCATGTTTTTCTTGAAACTGCCTGAGTCGAAGCCTTTCATTTGCTCGTCCAACATCCCAGAGGAACTGAAGGCTAGACTTTGGGCTCATATAGCAATAACTGTGGCCCAAAAAGGTTAAGGTTACCTAGTCTACTACTAGGGGTTCATTCATCGCGGACTTGCCTTGGCTCGCTTTCAGTTTTTCGAGGTGTTGAGCAATTCAGAAGCACCTCTAAACCCTAAACCGAGCCCAACCGTGCAGGTAAAGCAGCGGAGCTCAGGGTCAAATCCAAACCGATGCGTCCAGAGGCAAGGCTACATATAAGATCATGGGATTTAGTAACTGGGGTTATAAGTAAGATAAGGTGACAGCCAAAAATTATTTTTACAGACCCTACTAAGGTACTTGTAACTTACTTACTACTTCCGATGAAACTCCAAGTAGGCGTGGTCTTTGGCTCCAGCCAGAGGACATGACTGAACCTGACTCTGGGCCTTTTCACCGTTCCATGTCACACTCCTCTGTTTCGCATCTAGCGGTCTTACGCCTAAGTGTATAAGGAGTACGAGGCTGGTATAGCGCAAAGTGAAGAAGACGTAATGGACTCACTTGAGGCTGTCATGTTTTCGGCAATACCTGTATTGGCTTGTCGGACTCCGGGGGACACTCCAACGACTTTCTGGTCTCGGTTCAGAAGTTCTCAACATTCAACTCAACGGCCCAACCTCCAGCAGCTTTAAACCGCAAACACTGTAGCAATAACGTCTAGACACTCTAAGACTGTTCTAGATCCTAAGCTTCTGGTGCCTACTTAAAGGATCATGGGACTTAGTAACTAGGGCTATAGTTAGGGTAACTATACTTCCCAATTAGAGTACTTATATAATAACGTTACTACTACGTCCCATGATTCAGTAAGCTACCCAAGACTCTAATGCGCAAGGGGGCCTCGTTCAGGACGTTGGTTGGCACATGCTTCCTGGCAATGGGCAGGGTGTGCGAGGTTCCGAGACCATGCTCATCAGTCATGCTGTGATGGTTACTACTTATTGTTACTTGTGTCATGTTTTCGTATTTCGCACTTAATGTGTCTGATCAACAGCTATGACTCCGATACAGGAGGTCGAAACAATGAGTACTGGTATCCCGTGAACTTTTGTTCTCTGGCATGATATCCCCCAATTGTTAAGGCCCCTGTGATGTTCCTGCCAAGGCCACCACGAACTAATGTGCAGCCGTAAATACAACAAGACGAGGTTTGGATTTTGTAAATTTACTTGCCAGGTTTGAATGTTTAGCTCTTTAAGGAGGCTGTCTATACCTCAATTATGGCTAAGGGTCTGGGGCTTGTCGCAAAAACGATGCGGAAGCAAGCGCGTTCCTAGCAACAGCCACAGCAAAGCGTAGTGTACGATACATGCGACAATAATAAGCGCTCTAAGAACATCACCCTAAACCCTAAACCATCCTAGACCCTTACTCTAACACCCTAAACCCCCAAACCCAAAAACCCTGAACCCTAAAATCCTTAACCACCCTAAAACCCCTAAATAGTAGGCTCCGTATTATAAGGACCCCCAAAACCCTAAAACCCTTAAACATCCAAACCGCCGCCTGTGGGCTGCGAGAGTCTTGTCAATCGCCTCAATAACCTGCCGGCTCTGGGTTCAGGGTTTCGGACTTGGGCTTTAAGGGCTTAGGGTTCTAAGGTTTGGGCTTTAGAAGTTTTTGGGTTTAGGGCTTTAGGGGTTTAGGCTTTAAGGGCTTCGGGTTCAGGGTTTAGGGTTTAAGATCCCCAAATCCTCAACGGTCCAAGGCTTGTAGTTTGCGATCCATCTGCATACCTCTCCTCCTCCTCCTCCTCCTCGTCCCCGGCTCATACCCCGTACGGATCCGAACACGAAATTTTTAAGTCCAAACTCTACAGCTCAAAACCACAAAACCCCGGAAGACGGAACCTGAAATCGTAAAAACGGCACCGCACCCCAAACCAAAACCCCAAACACACTCGAAACAAATCTAAAGCCGAAAACCCAAATCCTAAACCCTATATGCGCCCGAAGCCTAAACCTCAAACGCTACACCCTAATCACAAAGCTCTAATGTTTCAGGGTCCATGTGCCCAAATAGTATATACTTTCGCCTACTCCCTCTATAGTACATTGGGCCCAAAGTATATACTGCTTGAGTGCATGGACCCATAGGGAATGTCTAACCCTAAACCCTAAACCCCAACCTATCGGATGACCTTGGACAGGCGCTGTCCAGTCTTTGCAGAGCAAGTCACCTCGGCAGATGCAATCAGAAGGCTTAAGGTTTCGGGGTTCAGGGGGGGTTTAGGGTTCAGGGTTTCGGGCTTAGGGTGGTTTGGGGTTTAAGATTCGGGGCCAAAAGAATCTCAACCCAAAGCCCTGAGCCTATCTTCCCTGCACCCTCAACCCTGAACCCTAACCCCAAAGCCCTCAAACTAGATGGTTTGACGGCCCAGAAATCTCAATCGGGGCTGTGGCCCCAAACCCTATAGGCCCTACCTGTATTCTGGGCTCCTTCTGACGACTTCCTTAAAAGCTCGCAAAGAGATAGGTTGACTTGGGTTAAGGTAAACCCTAAACCGCAGCAAGCTGTGACAATTCGGCAGGGTGTTGATCTAGACAGGCACTTGCGAACAGCGACCGGCGCGACTCTGCAGCAGCTGATACACCACTATACCCCACCACAGACTCCTAAAGCCGCAAAGAAGGAATATGACTTAACACATGTAAGGCTCGATCTTACTGTACTTCGTTTATGTATGTTTCTGATGTACCCCGAAGCCCTAAACGCTGAAACCCCAAAGCCATAAAGCCCTAAGCCGCAAACCCCTAAACCCTAAACCCCTGAATCCCCAGAGACTCCAATATCCCTTAAGTAAGGAATATACCTTAAATCATATTAGGGATCCTACTATAATTTAAGGTATATTCCTTAATTAAAGGATATTGGAGTCTCTGGGTCCTAAACCCCGAAGGCGTCCACCCTACAGCCCTAAATCCTAAACCCTACTTGATGAAATACGGCCTATAAGTTATAAGCACAGATACCCTCACTATAAGCCTAGTTACTAAGTCCCATGATCCTTTAATTAACCCTAACCCCCCCTCTTATAGAACCCTAAAGTTACTAAGTCCCATGTTCCTCCCAAGTAAACCCTAAACCCTAAACCCTATAGATCCCTTTACGGAACCCTGTAGATCCCTTTTAAGGAATCCTAGAGATGCCTTCAAGTAGAGCCTAAGGCCTGCAGCCTCCAGGGTCTTTCTCCTTTTCTCACTCGCCTGGAGCTCCTTTCGCGGTGCCATCGCCTGAACCCAGAGAGCGCAATACCTCTTAAATAAGGAATATAGCTTAAACCATAATGTGAAAGCCGGAGTGATTTAAGGTATATGTGTATATGTATATATGTATATATATATATATATATATATATATGTATATATATATATATATATATATATAGAGCTTAAACCATAATATGAAACCCTTGATGTGATTTAAGGTATGTTCCTTAATTAAGGGGTATTGGGCTCTCTGGGAACCCAGTTTTGCCTAAACAACACACGTCAGGCCTGAGCCATGGAAATGAAGGTCGACTCACAGGGTTTAGGGTTCTGCCTAAAGGGGCCACGTTACGCCTGAGCCATGGAAACCAAGCACCCCAGAGACTCCAATATCCTTTAATTAAGGAATATACCTTAAATTATAGTAGGATCCCTAATATGATTTAAATTTAAGGTATATTCCTTAATTAAGGGATATTGGAGTCTCTGGGTCTACTTCTGCAGCTTTTTGTCTGGAGGGGGTGGGAGGGGGGGTGGCATAGAGCTACGGTGTTTGGCCTTCGTATATGGGTCGGATTTAAGGTATAGTTCGTTTAGGGTATAGGGTTTAGGGTACATAAAGTTGGAAACCGGATTAAGGCCAAATAGTGCTGGGATTCCCTTTACATTACTCTTATGGATCGAGGCTACTGGATTTCCAACCTTTTTGGGCTTTTACTGTATGAGGATAACATTTTAAAAATATTACGTATGTAGAACTTTGTGATGCAGTGAGTTTAGCCTGTAGGTTGAGGGGGTTTAAGAACCCGAAGAAACAGCATTGGTAATTACTCAATATTCATGAGGTAGCTCTAACGAAGAACCCGGTCTTCAGTCTGCTCCACTTCCGGCAGCCATGCTACGAGTGAGTCAGACTTTGAGATACTTCTTACTTTTGTCTTTACAAGACAGATCGCCTGTCTCTAACCAACGAGGCGGGCACCTGGGAAGAGGCAGTTTGCGGCTTTGAAGAGTTTGTCTCTCCGTCTGTGCGCAGGAGGCCGTACAGCGAAATGAATTACTTGCGTGGCACATGTTCCCCGCAAGGAGAAAATTGTTTTTGAAGCTCCTTCAGAAGCTGGCGGCGCTGTTCCAAGTGATGCTCCCTGTTGGAGCCTTTCTGCGTAAACTATACCGGAAGAGCATCAAGCGAAATTCTCATTACTAAACACAAGCTTGGAACAGCGCCCCTGTACACTAGCGCGCCGCTCACGCCATCAAGCTTCCTCCACAGGTCGTTGGAAACCTTATAAGCCCTAAACCCTAAAACCTCCGCAAGGGTGGTTCCGAAGGACTCTGACCACGAACAGCACACAAAACTGAGGCTTCGGAAACGACTGGTTTGGACAGACCCCTTTCAAGAACCCTCATGGAACCAGTACCCAGAGTGTCCATACATATTACCTCTATGGAAGTAAGTCCAAAAAAACATCCTTCTTGCGGCTTTTTGGGCCTAATTCCAGTATAGTAGTACACATGGGCCCTCTCGGGTATGGTAACCCTAACCTTTAGGTCCTAGACTTGTAATATGGCGGTCAACAAAGGTCAGGCTCCCGAATCAAATCATTGCATACAAACACGGTGCATTTATACACCAGTATTTATGTGTACACGCAACAGATATTCTAGGATACCCAGTAACCTAAGAATAAAAAGGCCTCTCTTTTTGGTATTGGGTAACTTTACAAGGAACCTAGGACTACAAAAAGGGAATAAGGGTACTACTGGGCATCCTAGTATTGAAGAATCAGTGCCCTGACCCTAAACTTGGAACTCCGAAGCCCGAGCCCCTTCACTCTAAAACTTACATTCCTACACCCTAAGCCCCAAAGTTCATACATCAAGGAGCCGTAGGGCCTTAGACCTTAAACCCTACATGGGAGCTTCCGAAAATAGGGACCCCAATATAGTACCTTAAATAGTAGGATCCTTATCATAAGGACTCCAAAACAAGGTACCCCCTGAGTTTCGGAAACTCTAAACCCTTATGGAGGCCTTTAAAGGAACCCCTATAGTACCCTTATAGTAGCCCTTTAAAGGAACCCTTATAGCAGCCCTTTAAAGGAACCCAAATAGTACCCTTAGAGTAGCCCTTCAAAGGAACCCCAAAAGTACCCTTATAGTAGCCCTTGAAACTAAACCCTAAACCCCTAAACCCTAACCCTAAATCCTAAACCCCTAAACCCCTAAAACCCTAAACCCCTAAACCCCTAAACACCTAAACCCTAAACCCCTAAACCCCTAAACCCCTAAACCCCTAAACCCCTAAACCCCACAAACCCTGAACCCCTAAACCCCTAAACCCCTAAACCCCTAAAACCCTGAAACCCTAAACCCCTAAACCCTAAACCCCTAAACCCCTAAACCCCTAAACCCCACAAACCCTGAAACCCTAAAACCCTAAACCCCTAAACCCCTAAACCCCTAAAGCCCTAAACCCCTAAACCCCTAAACCCCTAAACCCCTAAACCCCTAAACCCCTAAACCCCTGAAACCCTAAAACCCTAAAACCCTAAACCCCTAAAACCCTGAAAGCCCAAACCCCTAAACCCCTAAACCCCTAAACCCCTAAAACCCTGAAACCCTAAAACCCTAAAACCCTAAACCCCTAAAACCCTGAAAGACTAAAACCCTAAACCCCTAAAACCCTAAAACCCTAAACCCCTAAACCCCTAAACCCTAAACCCCTAAAACCCTGAAAGCCTAAAACCCTAAACCCCTAAAACCCTAAACCCCTAAACCCTAAACCCCTAAACCCCTAAACCCCTAAACCCCTAAACCCCTAAACCCCTAAACCCCTAAAACCCCTAAACCCCTGAAACCCCTGAACCCTAAACCCCTAAACCCCTAAACCCCTAAAGCCCTAAACCCTAAAACCCCTAAACCCTAAAACCCCTAAACCCTAAAACCCTAAACCGGCCCATCGCCTGAGCCTCGGAGGAGGGGAGATTCGCGGCCGTCAGGGAGAAAGGGTTCCTCGGATTGGTCTGGGGGGCTTTCTACTTAAAGGGTTCCTTAAAGGGATGTATAGGGTTCCTTAAAGGGATCTCTAGGGTTCCTTAAAGGGATCTCTAGGGTTCCGTAAAGGGATCTATAGGCTTTAGGGTTTAGAGCCGACTTAAAGGATCATTGGGACTTAGGAACTTTAGGGTTCCTTAAAGGGCTCCTTAAAAGGGATCTAGAAGGGTTCTAGAAGAGGGAATTTAGGGTTACTTGAAGGATCATAGGACTTAGTAACTAGGGTTAAAAGTAGGGTAACTATACTTATAACCGCAATTAAGGGACTTATAACCTTACTTTCTGAGTCCCATGATCCTCCAAGTAGGGGTTCCTTCTGAAGATTTTTTGGAGGAACTTCTTGGGGTGTCGTGCGGCTTCAAGGGATGTCCATGCAATTGTCTGGGGACTTCTGGAGTTTAGGGTTTCCGGGTTTAGGGGTTTAGGGTTTAGGGTTTTGGGGATTAGGGTTCAGGGTTTAGGGGTTTAGGATTGCAGGGTTTAGGGGTTTAGGGTTTCAGTGCTTAGGGTTCTAGGCGTAAGAGCTTGACCAGGTTAGGGTGTAGGGCGCTAGGGTTTTTTGGTTTTGGAGCCACATCCTTCGTGCTTGGGGATCAGGGGAGCCTTGACTTGCTTAGTGCAACATATGGGTAGTTGTCAAAATTATGGTCCTTTTTGGGTCCTTCGTAAAAAAACGGCACCTAATAATTAGAGTGCCCAACAAGGGACCATCAAAAAATACACAGCATGCCGTTTGACTCCCCTAAGGCCCCACATCCCCAAGCAATGCCTACAGTGGGGTGTACAGCCTCAAACTGTGGCATCGCGGTTCTCGTCAGGAGTGCCGGGGTTTACTGTTTGAGACTAGCGTCAGGTCCGAGATGCAACTCAGACACCTGAATACACTACTCGGGATGGCTAGGGTGAGGCTCTGGGCAGCCCACAAATTCTCAAATCCTAAGCCCCAGCTCCCCCCAAAAAACGAAAGCCTAGTAACACTTAAAGGAACCCTTAGAGGAGCCCTTAAACACTGTTATTGGCACCATTAATTAACCCTCTAAGGAGGCTTTTTTTGCAACCCTGTGTAAAAGGAATCCTTTCAAGAAGCCCTGAGAAGATCCCTTAAATGAGGCCCCAGACCCCGAAACCCTACATCCTACTTAAACCCCCCGACTACCCTCGGGTATACCGTTTTAATGCCCACTATTATTGCTCCATTAAAGGGCCATGTGTGGGGGTCCCAACCCTAAACCCTTTAAAGGAACCCCTCAGAAGTTCGTTCCAGACACACCGACGCGAGCGAATCACGAGCTCCTGCCGCCGCTTTGAAGCGGTTTGGGGAACAGGCGAGAGGGTTTAGGGTTAATCTAAGGTTTAGGGTTTAGGGTTGTGAGGGTTGAAGGTTGCATGAGAGTTTAATTTGAGTTTAGGGTCTAGGGCTCGTTCAGGGTATAAACATCCGTTTGCTCAGGGGCTGGATGATCTCGTTATACGATAGTGGTTCAAGGGGGCAGGGTACCAGTTGGGGAACCTTAGGGAAGCCTAGGGAACGTTAGGGAAACAGAATTGGGGACCTCTAGGTCATATACTCCTCTTAGCCAAGAAGAGGGTTTCTCTAAGGGCTAAGCCGCGCTGCTACGAGGTTCATTATCGATTGCAGCGTAAGAGGCCTCAACAACGAGAACGGGACTCTCTACATTACCCTAAGGGTCCATGTACCCATATAGCATATACTTTGGGCCTAATGTACCTACATAGGGAGCACTTTAAGGCCAATGCATATACTATATGAGTACATGGACCCTTAGGGTTATCCTAGCCCAAAAAGGTTGCCGGATACGTATTCAGCTCCTAAGCTGAGCTGCGGAAACAAGGCAAAGGGCGTAGTTCTAGAAGATTCAGGAATGAGTGAGCCCAACCCCAACCCGAAACTTGACACCCGTGTTGTATGAAGAAAATCAGGAACCCTGCAGGAGACGCTAAACCCTAAAATAGTTTTTGTTCAGGCCCCCTTGTTAAAACTGAGGTGGTCCGGGGTATCATCACGACGCTTGAACGAATTTAGGGTTCTGGGTTTAGGGTTCAGGATTTTAGCTTCAGGTGAGGACTTAAGACCCCAAACTATATAAGCCCTATGGCTTTCGTGTTTTGGGAAACATGGCATCGGCAGTATAAGAAAACGAGCCGACCGCGCCCTTGCCCCGAGCCATGGTTTAGGGCTTCGGGACGAGGGTTTTATGGACTAAGGTTTGAGATTTTCGGCACTGGTGTTGAGGGTTGGGTTTAGGGCTTATATAGGGCTTAGGATCAGGGGTGTGGGCAGTCACGGAGATTCGGGATGCGATGCTCATACCCTCGAAACCTACTTGGAGGATCATGGGACTTAGTAAGTAAGGTTATAAGTACCTTAATTGGGGTTATAAGTATAGTTACCCTAATTATTAGAACCCTAGTTACTAAGTCCCATGATCCTTTCAGTAGACCGGTCGACACAAACTTCCGGAAGCTCAGGTGCCTGTCGACCATGAAGTTAGCCGACGCAAGCAGGGACAGCAAAAGTCCTGACGCTTGCCGGTCGTTTGAAAGGAATGCACAACGACCTCTTAGGAACCCAAAGGCTCCATGTACGATTCGGGCACAAAGGACTCTGGCACAAAGGAATTTCTTTATAATGGTACATTTACGCCTGAGTATATAGTACTATATGCGTATATGGAGCCTTGGGGGAAGGTTTCAAAGGGCTGAGGAGGAGTGAGAAGTGGGGATTGCAGGACTTCGAAGCAACAGTGGGGTGGTCCTGGAGGTTGATGATTCACGGCAGGCGAGCTGTTATGTGTTGAAGCTTCCAGCTGTTGAACAAGTTGGTTTCGCGGCCTGGTTTTGTCAAATCGTGGGATCAAGCAGTGGCAGCCGTGAAAATGGAAGATGTTTGTGTATGTGTGTGTGTGGGTGGGTGTGTGCTACAGATGATGCGGAACTCAAGGGATGGGTCGATGCCTGCATGTGCTATGGCATATACTGATGGCAATCACTTTGCGAAACCTACTCGCCGACCACAGACCCAAACCCTGAATTAAACTGCGAAAGCAGACGCCAATCAAGCCCAAACGCCGAAAAACCCTTCAGCCCCTATAAACCCCCCGACCTGAAACTCGCCAAACCCTAAACCCTAAACTAAGCCCTACCTTGACCCCTCCAAAAGCTTACCTTCTTAAGGACTTTTACAAGGAAATCACTAAATTGAACCCCAGAAAGACAGGTTCTTCAGCCGGTAACACCCTAAACCCTAAACCCCAAACCCTAAACCCTAAACCCGAAATCCTAAACCCTAAACCCTAAACCCTAAACCCAAATCCTAAAAGCCCGAAGCCCCCTGAACCCCGGTCCAGGTGAAGAGAAGTAAACTGCGAGTCGAAAAGAAGCGAAGCCAAAAGCACGACGGCCTGTTAAGAAGCTTAGGGTTCAGGTTTTCAGGTTTAGGGTTTGGGTTTCAGGTTGAGGTTTAAAGTTTAGGATATGGCAGTTTCCGAAAATAGGGGACCCTATTATAGTTCCCTAAATCGTAGGATCCTTATTATAGGGACCCCAAAATAGGGTACCCCCTATTTTCGGAAACCCCCATATAGGTTTAGGGTTAGGGGTTTAGGGTATAGGGGCCCTTTGGGACTGCGGGGCTTTGGGGTTCCAAGCTCACCTGAACCCCAAAGAACCTACCCTGCTCTAAGGCCTGATACAAGGACATTATAACAATAAGGAGCCCTAACAGGGTTGGGGTTTATAAGGCCTGCTACAAGGACATCATAACAATAAGGAGCCCCAACAGGGTTGTGGTTTATATAAAAAATTCAAATAAGGCTTGGGGTTGAGCTCGGGATACAGAATGAGGTTAAGGAGAGGCTAGGGTAGCATTTGGGGTTGGCCATTGCCCAACTGAGTTTTCCACTGTTCTGCATGCATTCGGGATCAGGGATCTGCGGCGCATGTCGTTAATTGTGCACAGTTGTTGCAGGGGTGCTTCAGGGCCGCATGATTGAAGGCCCTAATTAGGCCAGCTTTGCATGTTCCAGGGGTTCGGCCAAAACGGCACGGGAATCCCAATACTCCAAAGCTTCTACTGAATCATCCTCGGCTGCTCCCGGCAACACGGTAGCCATTGCGCTTACTATGACAGTGATACCGGCGATGATTTACTGTCATTATAACTGTTATCACGGTGCGTGAGTAACGGTGTATACTCACATGAGGCCACCTTTTTCTTGCACAGGAAGGTGAGGATGCAGGGCTTGGCGGTCTGCTGAAACTGAACCAGAAGACTCAGACGAACGACATGTTTTGCCAGCAGTTCGCATGCAAAGTTCACCAACCCTAAACACTAAGCCCCGAACCCTAAACCGAGAGCTCCGAAAGAGGACATGATCGGACTCCGCTGTTCGAATAGAACTTTCCCAGGAAAAACAGTTTCGAGATTCAGAGCCGCCATAACTCGGGGTTTAGGGTTTTGGGTTTAGAACTCTAACCACTAAAGGCAGCTTGCTAGTTCAAGGTTTGTTCTCTCGTCTGTCGGCTGGCACCGAAGCGAAGCAAACCTCCAATACACCGAAACGCTAAAGCCCTCCTTTTAAGGTGCCTCCTCGAGGTCCCAAGGGGTCCTTGTAAGGTGGAGTTCTTGTGGTTGATTAGAACAGGGTTCAGGGTTCCTTTAAACGGTTCCATAAGGGATCTATAATAGGGTAGGGGTCCTTTGACGGTTCTGCGCGAAGTTACGGGTTCAGGGTTTTATCAGTTCAGATTTCCGAGTTCCAGAGGAGTTTAGGATTCTCCTCTAGATCTCTGGAAGAAGCCCAGAAAAAACGACCCCTGCATTTTCAAAGGGGCCCCTTAAAGGCACCATAAAGCCCTACTTAAAAGAGCATGGGACTTAGTAACTAGGGCTATAATTAGGGTAACTATACTTATAACTACTTCTAACCCCAATTAAGGTACTTATAACCTTACTTACTAAGTCCCATGATCCTCCCAAGTAGACCCTAAACCCTAAACCCTATAGATCCCTTTAAGGACCCCTATAGAGCCCTTTCAGGAGCCCTATAGATCCCTTTAAGGGAAGTCCCATGATCCTCCAAGTAAGCTCTGCGGAGGAAGCCTGGCCATGGGAGATCACGGATTCGAGAACCTGCGACTCTAAGGGCCTTTGGGAATCCTTAAATGGGTACTGTAAGGGTTCCTTTAAGGGCTCCTTAAAGGGATCTATGGGGTTCCTCAAAGGGATCTATAGGGTTTAAGGTTTAGGGCCTACTTGGAGGATCATAGGGCTTAGTAAGTACCTTAATTTGGGTTATAAGTATAGTTACCCTAATTATGACCCTAGTTACTAAGTCCCATGATCCTTTACGTAGACGAAGTCAGACTAGGAGGTTGAGGATATCGAGTTTGGGTTATTTGGGTCAACGTGACGGCGAATAGACTTAATGAGTTGTCAGGTTTTGGCATTGAAATAAAGTCAAGCGAGATGCTTTGTGAACGCGTTGAACTTCGAACTTGGGGTTAAAAATGTCACTCGGAGGTTCATGGGCAGTTATAGCTGGGGTTAACAGTAGGGTAACTATAGCTATAATCCATAATTAGGGGGCGTATAACCCCACTTATCACTACGCATGAACCTCCAAGCAGTTTAGGAGACTTTTGAGCCCGAAGCCCGAATCCGCACCGAAACCCTCTGTACCTGAGATGTGAGAAACCCGCGACCCTAAACAGAAACCCTACCCAATAATATGGGAGCCTCAGTAATCAGCATAGGGTTAATTGGGGCCCATTATACTATGTTTGAAATAAGGAACCACCCCCAAAATAGTATTGGCAATATTTTGGGCCCCGAATACTACGCTAAACCCCCAATGCAGGGACGCAAGGTGTTATTCTGTCCAGGGCACCAGCATTGCAGCAAAGCTCCCGGAGGTCTTCCGGTTCTTGAAATAGACCTGTCAACGATAAGATCCAAGTTCGGGGATTAGGGTTTCGAAGATTCAAAAAACGTGGAACCCCTCCCACAGGCTCTACAGAATGGGACCCAAATCGAACAAAGCACCGAAGCGCACTTGTTTGAAACCCGCGTGCAGAGCACAACCCCCGAACAACTAATTCAAACTCCTGAAGCCAACAGCGCTATGCACGGAAATACTGCGCTTTACCGACGCTGCTGCTGAGAACCCATCTCCTTCTTCGACGGAAAGTCCGCGCCATGCAAAGTTTTGAGTAAATTCCTAGCAGCTACTAGGCCGAAGTTTGAGGCGGCTCAAAACACCTAATGTAGGTGCCTCGATAATCATAACAGAGTATTGGGTACATTTTTACAAAACTTATATATTGGGCCCTGAACCCTGAACCCCAAATCTGTCTTACAAGTTATTCCGACTTCCCACGGCTCACAACATCTATGAAATCAGCCAGGTAAACCTGGCCCTCCAAAGGCTGACTGCAGGGGACTCATGGTTTCACTGGGGCTCCTTCAAGGAGTCTGCAAAGGGTTCTATATTAGAGGTTTACGGTATAATACAGGGGTGTGGAAAATTACAACAGGGTTTCGGGGTATACTGGATATGACATGTATGCCATGGAACCCTAGCAAACAGCACAAGCAGCAAGCACTGTTAATCGCCTAAACACAAACCAGTATGGAGGGAGCGCGAACAGCTAGCACTGTTCTTTTGTAGCATTATACTTACACTTCGGGAGCCCCAAAAAATCCGGTGTCAAGGAATCATGCATAGTTTATGTATTGGCAATATTTGGGCATAATCCTGAACTCCTAAACTCCTAAAACCTACAACCCTAAGTTTACGCAGCACCCACTAAACATCAGAGCCAGAAACCTCGCTGGAGTCGGACTTAACCCCCAAACCCTAAACTCTAAACCCTAAACCTCTACTGCTCTTACTAAGTTCTAGGGGTCAGAGTTGTAGTCGGAACCCGGACCCTGGCCTGTGAGGCATTCACCACCTGCGTGAGGACTTTGAGGATGTTCATGGTGGTGAGGACCCGCAGCACCCCACCTGAAGATAGACTGTGGGGCTTCAGGGGGTAGGGGGTTTGGGGTGTAAGGTTTAGGGTTAGGGTTTAGGGACCACCTGAAGATAGACTTCGGGGGCTCAGTCTTTAGGGTGTTGAGGGGTTGGTGAGGTTTATGGTTTGGAACTTCGGGGGTTTAGTGACTTCACTAGGGCTTTAGGATTCAATTCTTTGGGGATTTGAGGTTCAGTGGCCTGTACTCTGAATTACAGACCGCTGAAACTTCTCATGAGGTCCGACTCCAAGCCTAAAGCCTCAAGGTTTTAGTCAAGCTGGGGATGAGGCCTCGGGCTTCAATATCTGTCGCCTAAACCCTAAATGGGAGTTTCCGAAAATAGGGGACCCTAGTATAATACCTTAAATAGTAGGGGTCCTTATTGCAAGGACCCCCAAAATAAGGTACCCCTAATTTTCGGAAACTCCCAAATCTTACCCCCAACTCCTCAAAGGCTAGAGGCCTGCTTGAAGTGACGAAGGTGCGAAGTTGAAGCTACCCCTCCGGGGCGACGATTCACATGAACAAGTCTCGTAGGTGTCCACCGCCTCTTTAAGTGTTCATGTACCCTTCAAAGGGTTTCCGTATGATGATTGAAAAAGTGTTTCCATAAGGCGTAGCAGAGGGGTAGTATACTCTTGGGCCTCCAAGGCGGTCGAGCTAAAGAAGATTTCGTAGCAAAGTACAGACTACATGCATTTGGGGCTACACTGACCCATGGGGCCGTAAACCCTACACCCGAGATACACCAAACATCACCAGACCCTGGACACGATAGACCCGGGCCCCATGCCCTAATATAGTGGCCTTGCCAATTAGAACAAAGTTTTGGTGTATAATATATTTTTAGTAGGGCCCCCCGAAAATCCTATTCAAGTTATGAAGCCCCAATATTACATCCTTATAGTAGCCCTTATAGTACCCCCCCCCCCCCATAGGCTCCTTTTCATGAAGAAGAACCCTATTCTAAGTATTAAACCACCTTTCTTGTCAACTTCCAGGTCTTGGCTCGATCTCTGGGTGGCCTACCCGGGTTCTTGTCAGGTTTAGGGCTTAGGGATACCATCTTAAAGAAACCATATTCTTTACTAGAGTCCCTGTTATGGTAACTTAAATTACGTCAGGGCTTATCTCTATTACCACTAGAGCTTCTTATCTCCTCGTTTTCCTATTATCTCTATTATCACTAGAGCTTCTGATCTCCTCTTTCCTTCTATTATCATAAGAACTTCCGATCTCCTCTTTTCTCATCCTCCTTATTTCATTTTCCTCTAAGTTTACCAAGAGCCCAGGCCACGAGGTATCGGGCGCTGGCACTCGGGAGTTGTCGGCTCCTCCTCGCTGGTTTCCTCCTCGGGGAATTTCGTCTCGAGGGTTTTGGCTTAGGGTTAGGGTTTAGGGTTTAGGGCTTTGGGGGTTTAGGGTTTAGGGCTTTGGGGGGTTTAGGGTTCCTTTAGGGTTCCTTTAAACGGGCTTATAAGGGTTCCTTGAAGTACGGCTCCAGGGTTTTGGTGTTAGGGTTTAGGAGAAGGGCTTATAAGGGTTCCTTAAAAGGGCTCTATAAGGGTACTAGAGGGTTTAGAGTTGCCTGTTAGGTATCATGGGGAACTATAGGTTACCCTTTTTGATTATATAAGGGCTATATAGGGATTATACTCCCCCAAAAAGTTAAAGATTACCTACACCGTAAACCCCAAAAACCTATATCATAAACACACTCAATTTTGATGATCTAAACCCTCAAAGCCTAAACTTCTAGAGAAGGGGTAGAAGTCAAGCGGTGCCCTGTCCTCCTCAGAAGATGGCACGGACGTGTCAGGAGCCCCTCTGTCACCACTGGCCAGAATCCCCCGGATCTGAGAGTGGTTTTAGGTTGAGGGTCTAGGGCTTAGGATTTATTTTTTAGGGTTTAGGGTTTAGCTTTTGTATTTGCCGGAAGAGAGTCTTCACTTTTGTCGGGGATCGGAAAAGGACTTTCAAATCAAAGACCTACCCACAAGCTGAACGCTTTGGGCTCGCCGAGACTGAAGAAGCTTCACGCACTGCAGGTTTGAGACTTGAGGCTGTCTTTCACCCCCCCCACCACCCAGCAGTAGACCTTAAACCATCATGGACGTGCATCATAGCAACTCTACTGCGGGTATGTTGTGGGTCGTCCTGGGTGGTGTTGCGGGCTTAAGCTGCTTGGGTTCCGAGGTTCTCGGATACAATGTCTCCAGAAGGGAAGAAGTCAGCAACCCACGTGGCAGGTATTGATAACAGCTATAGGTGCCTCAACCATTAGAATACATAGGGTTCTGGGGTACATTTTAGTATAGATACTTTAGGAACCCTGAGGAACACTCGTAGTACTTGAGGCTTGTGTAGTATCGCATGCCAGGAATACCAAACGCTACGTGCTAACCTCGGATCCCATTGAACCCTCAACCTTAGACCTCAAACTCCTATACAGCCTATACTACACTCACCAAGAAAGGAACACTCCATTGATTTACTGGCACATTCTGAATAACTAGCAAAAACATTTACCTTGTCCTTCCTAAATAGCTGCTCTAAAATATGCCCCTAAACCCTGCTCACATTACGAATCGGCCCCGAAAAAACGCGCATGCCGCACGTCGGATCCGGGCATATACACCCTTTTGTCATGAAGCCCAGGAAGGTAATTATGCATAGCCCCTGTAAAAATGATCAAACCTTAAGCTGCAACACTCAAACACCCTCCAGGGAGCGGCAAGCTCAAGGCAGAATCTCCGTATCCTCATGATTTCCAACCCGCTTGCAAAGCCCTACACCCCAAAACCCCGAAGCCCTTTTCAGGGGCCACGGAAAGACATAGAACCTTAATGTCTTAATGCCTTGTAATATCTTGCAATGCCTCCAAGAAGCAGAAAGACCAATGCAGACTGCCAGCTTGAGACAGGACCAGACCATGTTTGCTATGGTGAGCGGCCCGCTTTCCTCCACTAAGCCGTGTTTAGGGTTTAGCCCACTACTAACTGCGATCTTACACAGGAAGTATTTGGCCCTTGTTACAGTAAAACCTGGCACAGCTCCTTTCGAACATCGGAAGACCAGCTGTTAGGATGCAACATGTACTCAATGTATGCCATGTACAGCATATGCAATCACGGATGTGAAGCATGTCGCGAATTGTGAATGCCGGCAGAGGCCGAAGCAACAGCAGCAGGAGCAGCAAGGGCAGAAGTACGACCGGACAGAAAAGACACTAACTGCCTTGAAGTAGCTATGTTCGTATTCGTGTCCAAATCGCAAAAAAGGTGGATTCAAAAAACGACAAACCCCAGGCCCTGGACGGACAGTCCTCATATCGACAGATCTCATAGAGCGTGTTCGGAGCGGCCAGAAAAGCCGGAACCAGCGCCAGCAAAGCGCAAAGCAAAGGAGGCAGAATGTTGAAGGCTGGTCGGTGTCCAGAGAAAGCCTGGGCAGCAATGAACACGATCATCACCTACATATCTGTTAGTGCCCTCCTCCTCATCATCATCGTCCTTATCCTCATCACAACCACCATCATCTTCACCCTCATCGTCATCACCATCATCGCAACGCTCATCATCGTAGTCACCATCATCCTCATCAGCATCATCTCCGTCATCATCATCCCAATCGTAATCCTCACCATCAGTAGCATTAGCAGCAGCAACAGCAGTGGCAGCAGCAGCAGCTGTTGCTCTTTCCCTTGCTACATTAACCACGGCAATCACTGGCATCGTTGTAGACGTCATGGCCGATCTCTGCTGCTGCTTGCTCGTCATCTTGTTGTTGTCGTCGCTGTTGCTATATTGCCGTAAGCTACTGCAGATGTAGCTGTTGCGTCGTCGCCGTTGCTGCCGCTGGTGTTATTTGTTCGTCCCGGATCGTCGTGGTGTTTCAGTTTCTGTGGTCTGTGTCGCTATTTCAGCTTTTGTTGCCCTCTTGATGTTGGTGTTGTCACCGTGTCGACGACGTGTTTCCAGGTTGGTCCAAGCGCGTGCGAAGAACTTTGTGCAGCATCAGGTGCCCGTAATTTCGGGCTTCGTATTCTGTGATGACTAGTTACTCCTTGCAATATGTTTGCTGCAGTTGGTGTATGTCAGGTTTGACAAACCTAAAGCCTAAACGAACCCTACATCCCCAAAATCTCTAAACCTTAAACCCCTTACTTATAAACCCCAGACCCGAAACCCAGCAAATCATCGGACTTGCAAAACCCAGACGTGGGGCGGAATCCTTGACAAGGGCCAGCTGCAGTACTAGCAGTAGAATGGAGGCCGTGTGCCTTGGATTCCAAGAGCTCATGGGATTGTCAGGTCAGGTCGAATATGCGACCGGGACATGTTCAAACCCTAATCCGTGCTAGGAAGACCGATCCCTGAAGATTACAAACCCCAACACGTGGGGGTGAGAGGAGCATCCGAAACCGCCTCGAAAACAGAACAGGCTTTGCGGGTTTAGGGTTTAGGAGTTCAGGGATTTGGGGTTCAGGGTTTTAGGGTGTAGGGTGATGGGGTGTAGGGTAGGTGATAGTGCTCAGTTGATCCAAGGGAACCCCAAATAAGATTTGAGAGCTAGGCAGGCCGTTCAAAGCCTCCACTCAAAAACAAACGACTTCCGTTATACCATGCTTGCAATACGGAGCCCAAGGAATGCTATTGGTAATTGTGTATATCATGTGCGCATATATATATATATATATATATACATTAATGAGCGTCTATTTTTCGAAGGCCTGGAGACTGTGACCAGCCAAAGCAAAGCACCAGGATCGAACGCTGCCCAAGCTCATCGACCGTCGGGCAGTTGTCCTTTCGGCTGACAGGGCTTTGGGGGTATAGGGTTCCTTTAAGGGTCTCTTTAAACAAGCTTATTAGGGTACTATAAGGTTTAGCGATTATATAGGGGTTATATAGGGATTATACTATATACCCCATAAAGGTTAACGGTTACCTACTCTACTAGTAGGTTCCTTTCGGCTGACAGCTTTAAGGGTTCCTTTGAGAGGGCTTGTACTGTAAGGGTTCTATAAGGGTACAATAAGGCTTAGGGTTTAGGGTTTTAGGGTTTGGGGTTTAGGGTTTCCTTGGGAAATCCTCCTTACGGCTGGGAGGGCTTAGCTCGAGGAAGATACTAGAAGGGCTACTATAGGAGTTCTACAAGGGTTACTACATCGGCTCTATAAATCAACGTTGACTTTAGGAGTCTTAACAACAAGAAGCAGGGTTCGGGGGTATGCAACACTGTACACATGCTATAACACTGGACTACAAGATTGACATGGCTTGAATCTTTTCGGGCCTCGATACTAAGCCCAAAGAGACGTGTGACCTCCCTCACGGAAGAGAACCGGATCTTCTACACCGGACTCAGAGCTCCGGTTCCAACTGCTCCCTCTACTAAGTGACCATAGGTTCCCATAAAACAGAAATTGCCCTCTTGGGGTTTGTTGTGCTGCATTTAGAGCTAACATCGCAGTAACGAATACTTTCTTGTGGAGGATACATCTAGTGCTCGTGAGTACTTGCACTGACCGTCAGAAATCATGAGCCTGCACGCAGTGTTCTTGTGAACAACTCTACGACAACAACCTCAACATGATCCCCCTAAGCCCTAAAATGTGCTAAATCTTCAGATCGTAAGTCGTAGTTGATGCACTAGTCGCGACACGACCATCTTCAATTCCAATCTTTCCCGCACCTTCAACCAATCGCCATGATCTACAATGCCAAGGCCTTCACAATCTCAACCAATCTGACGGAAATTGACATCTGAAAGGGGTCAAGTGGTATAGTACGCAGGGTATAAGGCATCGCTTAGACTTAGACAGTCACGAAAGCAGTCGGCCTGTAGGCATCACTATCCTGCTAGTACCACTTAACTTGTCGTCCTCTTAACAGTCTAGGGCTTAGGGTTTTGGGTTCTAGCCTTTAAGGCTATGGTTTCGGGGTGTAAGGATTATCAGTAAAGGCGGCAAAAGGCTTTCAACGTTCTGCCCGGCTGTCTTCATTCATTACAACTCTGCAACCAATATAGAAACCTGTCTGAACCCCGGGGCTAAGCGGGGGAACTGAAACCATGAATCGAACGGCCTGGCAGTCTCGTTGCGGCGATGTCTGGCCTAAAACAGGTTGACCTTTCGGGTATGGTAAAAGGGTTGTGGTTTAGAGCTTTTGGGCTTCTAAAACCCTGTAAAACACACCTACTGAGCTATCCAGCAAGAAGAAGTGCGTTGCAGCAGTGTTTCCTTCTGCAACTCGGGAATCTCGAAAAGCAAGCTGAGCGAGTTGTATGCAATGAGCACCTGCAGTCACCAACTCCATGTTTGTTTTGCCGGCATTTAGAAGGGACTACTCCGGGTTTTGCAAAGGCTGTTCTACGGCTGCTGGCAAGTATGATTGGAACGAAAGTAATGTCGCTTACAATGGCGACGTGGGAATCTCGTCACGGTGGAGCCTGGGCAGCTGAAACCAAAGCTTAGGACACAACATTGGCTCAACTCAACTTCGCAGCCATCACACACCTGACACCTAGAACCAAAATCAACAAAAATCTTAATAATAGGTACCTCTATAGGAACCACAAGAGAAATTAGAAAGTTTCCCAAACTGCCACCTAGTTAAAATGCCTTCAACGGCCAACACCGAAAAGTCTCTGAGTCAGGGACCAGGGCATAGCATGCTAGCAGCGTTTTCACCGGGCAGACGCAGTTCCAGAAGCGTCGGACAATTATCCTCGGATAGCACCGGGTGCTTTTTCCACGTCTGAAAGCCAATCAGAAACCACTCCGAAAGGGTCCAAAGTACCTTTAGGTTTAGGGTTTAGGGTTTAGGGTAGAATGTAGGGTTCCTATATTAGGAATTACCATGATGATTTGGGGAAGTATCCCCCATAACAGTACTTTGAACCCTTTGGGACCGTCAACATGTTCACGGGACTTAGTAAGTAAGGTCATCGTTACCTTACTTGGGGTAATGAGTATAGTTACCCTAATTATTACCTTACCTACTGAGGCTCTGATTGAATCTTGCGGAGGTTTGTTCTAAGCGGCGGAAGAACCTGCTACGCTTCATCATCGACCTTAAAGTAAATGAAGTCCCCTACTTGGAGGATCATGGGACTTAGTAAGTAAGGTTATAAGTACCTTAATTGGGGTTATATGTATACTTAGCCTAATTATAACACAAGTTACTAAGTCCCATGATCATTTAAGTAAGGCCCAAACCCCAAGTCCGATATCCGATCGTCATAGTCCTCAACCTACAATTGAAACTGGAGTTTAGGATTTAGGGGTTCAGGGTCTAGGGTTTTTCCTGTTTCTGAAAGTCACATGAAAACCTCACACTCCAAACCCACCGACATCTGGATTTGTTTATGTGAAAAAAGGTCGAGCTGACTTGCAGCGTGTCAGATTCGGTTTTCACAAGGGTAATTTACCCCCTGTCGGGATTTAGGGCTTCAGGCTTTAGCGTTTTTATGGTCTCATTCAGGCTGGGGGGTTTTGGGGCTCTAGAAGTATCCGAAACCCTAAACCCTGAACCCTGCCAAGTAGGTTAGTAGGGAATCGAAATTGCAGATCTGATACCATGCGCTATCAGTTTTCCGTCATCGTCTTATGCGTGAATAGTCCTCGATGAAGCAGAAAGCCAAACGTACGCAACAAGAGGGCCCACTATTTAATGGTGGGACAACATATGCACATGTTTATGAGCTGATCCTCCGTCAGCCTTTACCAAAAGCAGCTCAGCTTCAACGACACCACAAGAAGCGCTCCACATACCAGGCTGGCTGCATCTGCGCTCAGCTGGACGTCGTTCAGAACCTTCATGCGGGGTTCCGAAAGTTAAGAACGCACACCTGAACTATGCATGAAGTTCTGAAACGAGGTTGCCGGTCTTGGGAAGCCCTTACAACCTAGAGTGCATAGAAACGTTAACCAAATCTTCCGTATATAAAAACCTCGTTGTTGAACTTTAGCTTTAGTGACTTTAGTGCGTGCACGCACTTCAAAAATGTGCGTGTATATACATATATATATATATATGTGTATATGTATGTATGTATTTATGTATGTATGTAATATTTGTATATATATACCTATATGACATACTTAATATATTAGATGTAAAAACATTTATGTGTACAATATATATATATATATATATAGAGAGAGAGAGAGAGAGAGAGAGAGAGAGAGAGAGAGAGAGAGAGAGATTCTCGAGAGAGATTCTAATATAGATATTTATTTACATATACATTTTTGTAACTTCGGGAGGCGACCGACAAATCGAGGACACAATTGGGTCTTGTCGCTTGGGATTTAGCACTTGGTTCCAAGGGAGCATGACAAGTTTAGGAAGCTTGGCGATGTATGGTTTAGGGTGAGGCTGACTGAATGCACGAGTAGGCAAGAATAACTTAAGGTGCTGGTGCAGACATGCGTGGGAGAGAAAGACGGAGGAAGATATGAGAAGCCCAGTCGCGTCGTGCGCGCTGCTTTCGGCGTCGGAGTTCAACAGCACGGACGTCACAAACCTCACTGGCTCATCTGCTGACCTGTAAACCTGTCTAAAACTACAGTTGATGACATAAACCTTGCACTAGCCATGATAAGGAACATACCATGATTCCCATAGTTTGGGGTCATTAGGGTAAATGCAGGATTTATATCATCAACCGTAGGGCTCATGAGAAGGCCACTGCGGCAACTCTTTCCCAACAAACCCGAGTCCTTCTCCGTGGAGATTGTTGCAAGAGCCTCTTCCATAGAAGGCCTTACGGTCTAGAGCTACTTTCGGTGATTTTTCGAATTTTCGCAGGATTCGAGTTCAACTAGTTGCAGATCTTCGGTATTGCCGTGGCGCTGAACTGCGAAGCCCTAAAATCGCATCTGTCCTTGTGCAGCCCGCTTGCACACTCAAATGGTGCGGTATGGTGAGCTGTCCGGACACAACTCGATTCCTAAACCCGACCCCCTGCATACACTTGAGAAACCTACCTACATTCTCCATTGTAGTTCCTTTTTGGGGTTACCTTATAGGATCCTTAATATATAATTGGTTAAACCCAAAAAAGGAACTGCAATGGAGACTATAGGTAAGCCGCAAGTAGGCCATGAAGAACTTCTGGGTTCTAAACCACAAACCACCCAGAGACTCCAATATCAATATGATTTAAGGTATATTCCGTAATTAAGGGATATTGGAGTCTCTGGGGCCCGATACCCCCAGTTCCAACACCTAAATCCCGTCAAGCTTTCACCTCTAAACTCAAGCTCTTACAGAACTCTTAGAGTCTTAGAACAATCCCTGAAAGCCGTAATTTAGGTAAGTGCCTTGATTTGTTGGGTCGATCTTTCAAACACGGCAAACGAAGGACGTCACGGACCCTGAAACCCGAAGGCATTGAGCCCTATCGCCCTAAAGCCCATAGAAGCCTTGATTGAAAGCAAAGGACATCATAAACCCTGAATGCTGAAAGCCTTAAACAACTGCATAGCCGCCTTTAAAAGCAAAGGACATCATAAACCCTACACCCAGAAAGCCCTGAGCCCTATAAACTCTAGACTCTAAACTCTACGGAAACCTCAATTGCAACCTCAAGACCTCAACATTAAGCCCCACAGCCCTAAGCTCTGTAGAAGCCTCTTCATTGCAAGCAAAGGACATAATCGGCCCCGCAAGGATAAGTCCGAGCAAAACGGCCGTTGCTACAAGCTCCTTTTCTGGTCTTTAGGGGTTAGGGGATGAGGATTTAGGCTTACAAGCTCCTTGAAGGGATCTTTTGAGGTTTTGAGGTCTTCTTAAGGAGTGGACAAGTTCCCTTCTGTGGCTTCAGAATGTTTTGGAGGTTTTTAAAGATACTGGCATGGGTGTTTGGGGTTTTGATTGTTTTGAGAATTTAAGGACAGAGTGTTGGCTCTTGCAGTAAGGATTGGGCTTAGTGGATTTCAGGAAGGGCGAACGAGTTGAGCTTGCGTTCATGATGTGAATCGAAAGTTGCCCATGCACAGGGCTGAAGAGGCATGACGTAGATCAGTCCAAAGTATTCGACAGATGACGAAAATGTTCTGCTGTTGCGATGCAAATAACTGTTGATGCGACAGGAGCGACTACTGTGAATGCACGTTGATCGTGTTCGTGCTCCTTCCTCTCCGTGGTCCTTGCCTTGCTCATCTTACCATGGCGCTAGCTAGCTGACGATCGGTTGCAGATAGATATGACAAGCATACGTACACACAACCAGCGATGTCTTCATGACCACGACCATCCTGACTTCCATGCCAGACTCAACAACGCTGCTGCCACAGATCCTTCTCCTAATTCCTGCACTTGCTCTTCACACTGTGTAGAGTGTGCCTCATCTTTGCCACCATCAGTGCAACCAGCCCGTTACTATCATGGCCATTGTCATCTAGCCAAAAGCGCTGCCATACTCACCATAACCATCCTCACTGTCGTCATCCGTATTATCAGCACCACTTCACCACCCACCGTGAATCCTAATGACAACATCTTCATCATCTTCGTCATCTGCCAGGTCATGTTAGCCATCAGAATCGTTGCAGTTTCTCGCTCGACAACTGCCCAGACATAGAACAAGGCTCGTCAAATACAAAGCCCGCGGCGCTGTTTCATTGGCTTCCGCTGCGAGCCTATACCCTAACTTCCAATTCCTTACCATACATATGCAAGCCCTAGCCCTAACCCCTGGTCTACATCGGGACTCCAAACACTTGCTTCCATACATAATGTGGGAGTTTCCGAAAATTGGGGGTACCTTATTTTGGGGTCCTTATAATAAGGATCCTACTATTTAGGGTACCATATTTGGGTCCCCTATTTTGGGAAACTCCCCTATGAAGCCCACCCGGTACTCTGCTGCTCGCAAAACAGCAGGGAACATGACTTGTTCGCCTGAAAATCGGGAACAGAACCAACTCGCCTTACTCGTGTTTTCCAAAAACAAACCATCCAACAAAGAATCAAGGATGTGCCTACACCATGAGAATACCTATAGCGGCTTTTTCAACTTATAACAAGGGACTCGGAGGAATGAAGTTTACACCCAGTCGCCGACGAGTCCGGGTCGTACAGTCCAGCAAAAACGATCGGGGGGCCTCGAGGGCTTAAGACTTGTTTAGGGTTTAGTAAGTAGGATCTACGGTTTAAGAAATTTCGGAGCTAGGGTTTCGAGAAGCTTTCCAGGGTGCTCATGGCTAAGGTGTTACGTCTTCTTTTGTTGTGTAGAGTTCAAGGCTTGAAGCTTGGCTTTCGAGGGTTCAGGTTTTGGGGTATGTGAAGTTCAACCTAGGCGAATCGTGAAGATCCGATTAAACAACCAGCCCAGCTTATCCCGGCAGGGTTTTGACAGTAGGGACCCCGATGTTGAAACCCGATTTTTCTGAAGCTCCTGTGATTCAACTTAAAAGGCGAAGGAAGACTCCTTGCTGACATTGTTTGGGCCGCACGAGAGGTAGCATCTCCGATCCTAAACCACCAACAGCTTTGCACCACAAACCCCAAACCCCACAACTGCCCAAACCCGAAGCCCTAGCCGGAAAGAACGCCGATGAAAGCCTACATGGCTCTCTCTCTCTCTCTCTCTCTCTCTCTCTCTCTCTCTCTCTCTATGTATGTATGTATGTATGTATGTATGTATATATGTAAAGGGAATACAAAGGTATCACTTATGCACACCCCTACCGTATATTTCACCATAAGAACCCTTCTTCATACAAGGACCCCTCCCATGGACCATGAACACAATCGATCCCAAACTAACTTCAGGGAAATTCTGGAATATTGGCCAGACAAACTACACAAATTGCCTATATCCGAAAGCTTATGCGGAAAATCCGGGATGCAGACCATAACCCCTGCTTTTGATCCCCAAAACCAGCAACTCTCTCAAGCACCTAAACCCTGCACCCTAAAACCCCTAAACACTAAAATCCTAAGCCGTGCTTGGAGGGTCATGGGACTTAGTAAGTAAGGTTATAAGTACCTTAATTGGGGTTATAAGTATAGTTACCCAAATTTTTAATCCTAGTTACTAAGTCCAATGATCCTTCAAGTAACCCTAAATTCTCTCTTCTAGAACCCTTATAGATCCCTTTTAAGGAGCCCTATAGTTACTAAGTCCCATGATCCTTTAAGTGGTGTCAGAGAAGGTTCTCCCAGTCGGTATCGCGCCATAAAAGAAGGTAAAGTCGCGCAGAAGGCCACGCACCTCAAGTTTTTGGCTACCTGGACCCCAGAAGTATGTAGAACACAATAGCTCTTTATAGGTTTGGGCCATTATTTTACCTGTTTTGCGAGGTCTAGGTAGGTGCTTGTCGGCCTAGAGACGCGCATCTTGTTTCGAAAGCGTGTGAAAGGACAACTTAGAGCTTGCAGGGTTCGGAGCGTGCGGTATGCTTTGATGTTTAGCCGCAGCAACGAAAGTTATGCAACGTAGATCTCTAGAGTTTGTCCGGTCCTCCTATGCTTACATGAAGCCCTATAAACATCCCTAAACCCTATAAACCGTAAACCCTATCAGCCCTAAACTCTAAACCGTCTGAGATCCGACTCAAGAGCTATCGTACGGGAGCACTGGAAGGATCACGGGACTTAGTAACTAGGGTTATAATTAGGGTAACTATACTTCTGACTACATATAATTAAGGTAATTAAAGTACCTATAACCTTACTTACTAAGTCCCATGATCCTCCGAGCAGGGCCGGAAGGAAGGCAACTTACACCAAAGCCCATCGAAGCTTCTAGGTTCAGGGTCTGGGCTTCAGGGTTTCAGGGGTTTGGGGGTTTAGGGTTCTGGGCTTCAGGGGTTCAGGGGTTTAGGGTCTAGGGTTTTAGGGTTTAGGGCTTCGGATTTAGGGTTTCGGGTCTAGGGCGTTAAGGATTGCAGTTTATTCTTAAGGTTTTAGGGCTTAGGGGCCCAGAGTTTACAGGGCATGTGCTCATAGTAGCAGCATAGAGCCTGAGACTAGGCATGGCTACGACAAGCCGGTGCAAACTCGCCTCGTCATGGCCGGTCACGAAGACCGTCCCGAAAGAGTAGCTCAAGTAGGCGCAGACCACGACCTCCGAAATAGGGGAGTTTCCGAAAATGGGGGACCCTAATATAGTACCCTAAATAGTAGGATCCTTGTTACAAGGATCCCTAAATAAGGCACCCCTATTTTCGGAAACCCCCATATCAAGACTCGGCTTGGGGTGGGCGAGCCTGGCCCTGCCCCTATTGAAAGGATCAGGGGACTTAGTGACTATAGGGTTCCTTAAAGGGCTCTTAAGAGGGATCTATAATGATCTGTATAAGGGGTCTAGAAGAGAGGGTTACTTAAAGGATCATGGGACTTAGTATCTAGGGTTATAATTAGGGTAACTGGACTTATAACCCCAATTAGGGTACTTATAACTTATAACCTTACTTACTAAGTCCCATGATCCTCCAAGTAGATGTAGAAGCCTTCTGAATTCGATTGGGTCTTAAGCGGTTACGGTTTGGGGGGTAGACTGTACAACTACATCAGGACCCCCTCAGGAAGAACATTGCTTACTACACCATATTCCGGCCTCGAGATTAACTGGCTTCTCAGGGAAGACAGGTTACCAAAACCCGGACCACCGACCATACACCCTAAACCTGACCAACCGTAAACCCTAAACCCGGCCCAAACGTGATCAGAACGAGCCCTACCACGAAGGAAACTCAGCTTGTGTTTTTGTTGCCGAAACCAGGCCGAAGCTCCAGGCCACCAATAATGGGGATAGGATTTCGTGTACGGTCGGGACCTTGATAAGTGAACTATCTGTGGCCCGAAGTACCTACCTTCCTACTTGTCGGGTACTAGGGGGAACTAAAGCTTAAACCTTTTTGGTTATATAGGGATTATATAAGGACTAAACTACCCCCAAAACAGTTAAAGGTTACCCACTCGACTACTAGGCCTTTTTCCGGAATGACAGCTCGAAACCATAAGGAACCTGAAAAGGTAGGATTCTTCAGCCGCAGGTAGGGTTTCGGCGGGTATATTACATGACAGGCCGCTGTTTTGCTATGCTTCTTGGGTTTTTTTTGGGGGGCTACAACTGGGGATTATAGGGTTTAGGGTTTCGAAACATTCTCACAGCCATATTCGAGTCTAAAGCTGTGCTACATGCGGGCTGCCTCCAGTCTCCGTTGTAGTTCCCTTTCCCTTGGGGTCCATGGACCCTAATATTAAATACTTTGGGCCCAATGTACCTCTACTTTAAGGCCCAAATATATACTAGTTGGGTACATGGAACCTTAGGGACCTTTAGTTTAGTCAGTTTCGTATTTAAGTAGGATCCTGCAAAAAAATACCAAACAAGGAACCACAAAGTAAACTATAAACCCTAGACCCTATACCCTAAACCCTCTATAAACCTTAAACCGTAAAACCCCTAACCCCTAAAACCACTAAAACCCTAAACCCCATATAAACCTGAAGCCGTAAACCCCTAAACCCTAAACCCTATACCTTAGACCCTCTATAAACCTTTAAACTGTAAACCACTAAAACCCCAAACCCCATATAGCTGTGGCCTTCAGTAGGACCAGCCCGCAGGGCCAGGTCGATAACTTTGCGGACCTGCTGCTTACGGGTTTAGGATTTAGGGGTTTAGGGGTTTAGGCTTTAGGGTTTAGGGGTTAAGGTTTAAGTTTGGGTTTAAGGTCCTATGTACCTATATAGTGGAATGTAAGCTCACGGTTGATGATAACATTAGAGTAAGGACCCTAAACTGTGGGAACTATGGCAGATTCCTTTATATGTGTGTCATCAACCGTTACGGGTTTAGGATTTAGGGGGGTTAGGGGTTGAGGGTTTAGGGTTAGGGTTTGAGGTATAGGTTGGCTTTAAGGGTCTCGGTCTTATGTACCTATATAGTGGAATGTAAGGTTTATATACTGAGCGTCACTATTGGAAAGTATGCGTAGCTCGTAACGGTCCCTAGGACCCTTTGGGGATTCGGGCTTTAGAAGAGATCCACCGCAACAGAGGGCTCCCAGTTTACCATGCCTAAGCGCTCAGCCTTCATGCCCTTAGAACCATAGTGAATAGTGGAAATGACAGCAATCAGAACAGCAGAAGCTGTAACAATAATGATAACAATGCTAATTACTAGTATCTTGATAGTAGTAATAATGGCCTTCCGTAGGGTGGACATCAAAGCACATAGCCTACGTATACGATCGCCACCACTCGCACGACCATCACCAAAATAACCAAGTCTCAAATCTCAACTTTGCATCGGGTAGCTAGGAGAAACCTATTGTTCCTGCTACCGAAATAATGGGCTACTGGGTTACAAATTACATGGGAGTTTCCGAAAATTGGGGGTACCTTATTTTGGGGTCCTTCTAATAAGGATCCTACTATTTGGGGTACTATTTTAGGGTCCCCTATTTTCGGAAACTCCCACATGGGTAGCAACCGACTATTTAAAGAACTGGAGCCCCTAGAGGGAACTCCAGAAAGTTGGAATATGGTTTCAGGGTAGGATACCTTATAATTTACCATACAGGGTTTAGGATAATCATATTCCAACTTTCTGGCTTCTACCGTAACTCTGAAAAACCGACCTTTTTAGGGTTCCGCATCATCATTTCCTTATATACGTCCTTAAAACGGTAGGTTACCCCGGCTTTTACCATAGGGGGTATACAGTCGGTCTCGGACAAGGGCAGCTTCAGGGTTTCCTAGGAACCTGTCTACCCAGAGCCTCCAAAACCTCTTAATTAAGGAATATACCTTAAATTATAATAGGATCCCTGATATGATTTAAGGTATATTTTCGTATATTCCTTAATTAAAGGATATTGGAGTCTCTGGGTAGGAACCTGTCTATACTGCTTCTTAAAGGTTCATGGGACTTATAGTAACTAGGGTGATAATCAGGGAAACTATACTTTTAACTACTTATAACCCCAATCAAGGTACTTATAACCTTACTTACTAAGTCCCATGATCCTCCAAGTTGGTATACTACAACTCTGAAACCACCCCCTACCAGCACCCCGACCCCAAACTCCAACCCCAAGAATCCCGAATCCGCAGCCAGCACACAACCCTAGCCTAAACCCTAAAGCCTAAACCCTATGTATTTCGACCTTAAGTCATGAACCCGCTACCGCTACAGAGCAACACCTCTACGCACAAGGTGAGTCGTGTCGCCTCATGCCGTGCTTCGTACCAACCATGGCAAAAAGTAAACCCGACCCAAAACCACGACGACCAAAACCAACCAGCAGGAAAGGCCCAAAATTGACCGAAACATCGCTAAATCTGAAAGATCTTAAAATCGCGGAAGCAGAAGCCAAGCACTGTATCCCAGCATCCCACAGCAATTTCCCAAAGCCGCATGGTACATTAAAAACTCCGCTCCTGAAAAACCTGGAATGCCACATGGCGCCTCCCTACGAGTGCGGAACCCTGCCTCCCCGAACCGAAGCATTCCCGCCCAGACCATACACCCGAAATCCCGCACGGATTTGACCCAATGAAAGATCCCAAAAATCCCTAAACCAAAAACCCAAACCCCTAAACCTAGATCTCGATCCACAATGTAAACCCTGAACATAACACCCGAATCCTAAAACCTAAGACCTATACCTTACACTACCATACGTCGTTGCAAGTTCTCATTCGAAACCCAATGTGGATGTATAGGGACCCTACAACAAGTAGGTTTTGGCAGTTAAAGGTAAGACCTTTACCTTTTGTCTAGGCACCGAAGCGAAGTCCCGGTCAAGAAGAGAGCGCACATTGTGAAAGGCGCTGTGAAGAGCTCGATCCTGTTGTGGCAGTTTAGGATTTCAGGTCTCCGCGTCCATGAGGTTTAGAGTTTGGGTGGTTCGTTTAATGTGCACTATCCTTTTCCGTGTGTCCAACGGTCCACCTCTGTTGCGAGACGTGCACGTCCACCCTTATCAGGTTGATAAAGGACCCTCACTTTTGACTTCCGGGTAAGTCCAGCACCGTTGAATCCCACAACTCACTGATGCACCCCTTCTTCCTTGCCATGGGTCGCAATTGAGGGTATAGGGGAGCTTGGGGTTAAAGGATGCAAGGGCTTTATGGTTCAGGAGTTTACGATTCAGGGTACCAGGGTTGTTCAGGCTTAGGGTTTGAGAGTTATAGGGTTGAAGGAATTTGGGATTTAGGGGTTTAGGGTTTATATAGGGCCAAGACTAAGGGTTCAAGAATATTGGATATAGGGTTTAGGGGTGTATGGAGTTTATTCAGGACTTGGGGCTTAAAGGGTTTATGGGGTCCGAAATTGGGGGGTTTAGGGGCTTAATTCATTCGGCTTAGGGTTTAAGAGTTTAGGGTAGGGGTTGAGTATGCGGAAAGCAGTCGGTGGATCAAAGGCTGTCTTCTCCAAATGATGAAACCTCGAACCCCACGTCTGAGTCTATGGTGCGCTTTCAGAATGACCTATGTGAAACATACAAGCTACTCAGCTACTCTAAACCCCAAGCGCTGGTAGCAAGACATGTGCAACCGACCTGAAATGCCGCAGCCACGAGCCCTACATCCATAGCCCCGTAGTGGAGACAAGGGTCAAGTCGCAGAAAGGATGCGGGAGCTTGCTTTGACCACCTTCTCGGATGATGGTGTTGCCCAGAAGCAGCTTGTACCTGAGGCTAACACTCTTTCAGCCCTTGGAATCACATGGAGACTGTGGCGCATGAATCACATGAACTAAGCCAGCTGCAAGCTCCTGGTTCAGAGCAATCAGACCCAATCAACACTGCCTCAAAAGACACTACCTGGTGCATAATGGTAAGTTTTTACCGTCGCCCCCAAACACTCCAAGTACTCAAGTAGCTGGGTTTCAACTCCCAAAACCCATACTCTGAATGGTTTTCGGTGCCAAAAAACCCCATTATCTGGGCATTTGGACCCTTTAGTGCCCTCCAGCCCCTAAAGTCCTAAAACCCTATAAATATAAACCTAGCTTTTGTACTCGGACCCCCAGGCCCCCTAACCCTTTCTAGGCTTTGCGGCCCCCGGGTTCGGTTTTCAAAGGCGCTGGGTATTTGGGAGTTTCCGAAAATGGGGGACCCTAATATAGTACCCTAAATAATAGGATCCTTCTTATAAGGACCCCAAAATAAAGGTACCCCAAATTCGGAAACTCCCATTTGGGAGCTGAGCATCGGCTACTGACAAGGGTTCGGGGTTTAAGGATAGGGGGAAGCAAAGTTATTGAGCAAACAACGGGCAGCTATGTTAAACAGGCAACGGCACCGTTGTCTAAAATATTGTGCTTTGGCTGTTCAAAAAATGGTTCGGCATGGACTTGCGGCTTTCCACGCTACCTCTTAGCACTTCCTCAGATACATCCTCTGTACCACAAAATAGGTATAGTTCCATAATCATACCATGCGCACTTAAAGGATCATGGGACTTAGTAACTAGGGTTATTTATAATTAGGGTAACTATTAACTTAAAACCCCAATTAAGGTACTTATAACCTCACTTACCAAGTCCCATGATCCTCCAAGCACATACGCATACACATGACGGAATTACCTCCTTCCAGGCAGCCGAAGCCCCAAGAATGCGTCCCAAGTGCAGGAGCCCAGCTCCCGTCATCAGGAGCACAGGGTTACTAAAGAGGTCAAAGAGGAGAGTCCTTCCACTCGTGCAAGAGTCGGGGTTTAGAGTTCAGGGTTTCGTGACCATGGGTCATAACGCTTAGGATTTCAGAGTTTCTTGTGGGGTTTAGGGTTTCGGATTTTGATCGCTTTTTGCGGTTCAAGGTTCAGTCGATTTCGAGAGCTAAGGCCCGTTCGAGGGTTCAGGATCTGAGCAGAGGCTGTTGTAGGGGAATCATGCGTTGAAAGCCCGGTAGGCAGAAGATATGATGCAAAATCTCTAAAGTCTCGAAAGGTGGAGATCAGGATGCGTTGAATCTTTACCCTTTCGATCCAAACCACAAGAACCTGGCGGAGATTCGCAGACCAGAACTCCCGTAGCAGTGGGTTCCACATATACTGTCCGGGGTTTCCCTAAACCTAACCTTAACGGGAACTCCAGAAAGTTGGAATATGGATTAATGGTAGGATCCCTTATAATTTACCTTAAAGGGGTTACGATAATGATATTCCAACTTTCTGGCTTCTACTGTAACTCTGAAAAACCTACCTTTTTAGGGTTCCGCATCATCATTTCCTTATATAAGTCCTTAAAACGGTAGGTTATTCCGGGTTAAGGAAGGGCTTCCCTAAACCTAAGGAATTTGCTTTGACCGAAAGGTTTCCCCAAACTCTGCAGCCTGAACCCTAAGGCTTACGTAGAACCCTGAACCCGCAGCCCCTAAACGAACCTTTTGTAGGGGCCTTAATGATTAGAATAGGGCGTTGGAGCCCATAATACTAGATAGTACTAGGTAATCATATTGAGGAACCACCGAAATAGCATAGGTAACTAGTATGTTACTAAGGCCCTTGTATTAATACGGGGACACGACTCTACCTGGTCAGACGGAAGCGTGTCAGTCCCAATCACCAGCCAGAAAAATTAGAAACCTAAACCCGACACAAGAGACATCCAGAAACCGGCACCCTGAAAGGAGGCCCTAAACCCTAAACCCTAAACCCTGAAAGGAGGCCCTAAAACAAGGTAAAACAACACTCCAAAGGAACCCATCACGGAACCTTAATGGAAACCCTAGAGGAACTCCGAAGAGGAACCCTTAAAGGAACCACTTTTCCTCCCTAAAGCCACGGTCCTCATACTCCTAAACCTGAAAACCCCTAGACCCTAAACCCTAAACACCCCTAAAACCTAAACCCTAAAAATTAAACACCCCTAAACCCCTTAAAACCCTAAACACCCCTATAGCCCCTAAACCCCCTATAGCCCCTAAGCCCCTAAAACCTAAACCCTAAACCCTACTAACCCCCAAACCCCTGAACCCCCAAAGCCACAGTCCTCATGATCCTATAGCCCCTAAACACCCCTAAACCCCTAAACCCCCAAAGCCCCAGTCCTCATGATTTCACACGTCGAGGCTTTCTTGCTGCCGTCGGCCTCGCTCTTCCTGAAAACCGTGGCTTCGGGGTTTCATTTTTGTTTTGGGGTTTTCTTTGTTTTTTTGGTGTTGTAGGTTTAATTTTGTTTTTCTTGTTTAAGGGGTTGTAGGTTTAGTTTTTTTTCTTTTTTAAAGGGGTTGTAAGGGTTCCTTTAAAAGGGCTTATTAGGGTTGGCTCTACAAGGGGTTGTAAGGGTTCCTTTAAAAGGGCTTATTAGGGTTGGCTCTAAAAGGGTACTATAGGTGATTGGGTTTAGGGTTTTAGGGCTTTGGGGTGTTTTGGGGTTTAGGTCGAGGGGTTTCGGGGTTGTAGAGTTTAGGCATACGGGGTTAGGGGTTTGGGGCATAGAGCATATGGACTCCTAGTAACGCGCCTGAATATGAGCTCCGTATGTAAGGCCTTCAAACAGTAGAGTTTTGGTGCACGAGCGGTATGAGGCTCGATTGGGGTTCTCTTCATGTAGTGCTGAAGGTCTACGAGTCTCTATTGCGTATGTGAGGGTCGGGATCTTGTAAACGATAGCGGTGCTCATCATGAAGATGGAAAGCGACGGTCACTAAAGATACACGGCGGACAGCGCAAAAATGCCTGAAGCCTACTGGTGAGTTTCCGAAAATGGGGGACCCCAATATGGTACCCTAAATAGTAGGATCCTTATTATAAGGACCCCAAAATACGGTACCCCGAACTTTCGGAAACTCCCACTGGTAGAGCCAAGTGACTTGAGCACGCCCCCAACAGCTAGGGCCGCCATGGTGACCGGCACGAAGACAAAGGAACCCACCTGGGCTTCGGCTGCAGCTTCTAGTGGGCTTGTGGTCCTTCTTTTAAAGTTGAGTTGACGCTTACGTCTGCCCGCAGTCGGCTCTCAACTACAGCCCAGTTGTGGTCTAACTCTTAGGGTTTTTGGGGCTTGGGGTTTCGTCTTGTAGGGTTCTTGATGGCATTTCCCGGCACATGTGATCGCCATGTATGTGCTTCATGCATGGCTGGACATTGCCTTCAAGCCCGAAGATCCCTTCCGCCTACTTAAAGGATCATGGGACTTAGTAACTAGGGTTATAACAAGGAAACAATACTTATAACCCCAATTAAGGTAAGTATAGCCTTACTTACTAAGCCCCATGATCCTCCAAGTAACGTCGGATTGTTTCGGGATGTCTAGCTGGCAACACGAAAAGAAAACATTCATGATGGTCACGCCCTGATGAAAGAATGATAATGATAGCGGCGGTGACTGTTAACATGATTCACGACAACAGCCAGTAAGTAGTGCTGAAACAGACAGAAGACCGTCAGACACACCGCAAAAAAAACAACAACAAATGCCTGCGAATGGAGGCCAAGCCACCAAAGCATTGCCGGCAATGTATATGCCCATGTCCAACACCTACCAGGATCACAATTAGTTCCGGAGCAACTATTCTTCTTAAAGGATCATGGGACTGAGTATCTAGGGTTCTAACTAGGGTAGCTAGGTGACTATACTTGTAACCCCAACTAAGCTACTTGAAACCTTGTACTTACTAAGTCCCATGATCCTCTAAGTTGGATCTTCCTGTCACCTGGTTTCGCATAGACAAGCTTAGGGTTTAGGGTCTTATGGGTTGAAGGGATGGGAAGCCCACACCAACACATACTTACTGTGGCGTGCAGCATTGCCGACTGTACTTGCGCAGAAGCACTTGGAATGGGGTTTTGGGAGTAGAATACACCTTAACGAGAAAGGAAACCCGCAAGAGTGGAAACTATTGGTAGATTCTACTTGGGCCGAACATGTTTTCGCAAACTCGGGCAAGGCGAGCGAGAAGGGCACCTTACCGTAGAGGGCGTCGATGACGGGGAAACCAATGGCAAAGTCATCCGAAGCGATCGCAAAGAAGGCGAACACCTCTGCAGCAATCACCACTTGAAGCCCAGTTACTTTCATAGTGGGCTACTGGGCCGCGGATACCAGAAGGCTCACATGGCGCTTACGGAAGGATGACTTGTTATGGAAACATAGGTGAAAGGGCTATACTTGTTCGATGTGGGTGCGTTTTGCTGCCCACTTCCTACTCCATGTGTGACTATAGGACATACTTCTCTCATCAAAAAAGTGTGAGATCTGCTGCAAGCGCAGAATATCCACCTAAGTCCACAGGTATCACCGAGCCGACAGACCCTAAGCCAGAAATGCTAAAACACAGCGGAAAAGGAGGGACCCTTAATGGGGACCCCTACCCTATAATAGGCTATATAATGGGTATATCATAGCTATATTGAGGGTATATACCTAGGGGTCCTTATAAGGGTCCCTCCTTTTCCCCTTTGACTAAAACCTGAGCCGAAGGGCCGAAACTCCAACATAGCTGCCGTGAAGACTATTCGATGAGGCTTTTGGGGCATAATGTAGGAACCCGATTAAGGTTCCTTTAAGGGTTCCTATAAGGATTAGTAAATAAAGGGATCCATAAGGGTACTATAAACCCCAAACACTAAACCTTCAACGCTAAAGCTTAGAAGCTGCCCCCACCCTGTAATAGTGACTATAAGGATTATATTAGGGCCCTGATATAATCCTATATAGTCACTATTACAGGGTGGGGGCAGCTTCTAAGGCATAATGTAGGAACCGATTAAGAAGCCTTGGGCCTTTATTCGGGTGCCTTACATGAATCCTAAAATTTTGGGGGTTATAAGAGCCAGGGTTTCTTAATCAGGTTCCTACATTCATGATACTAAAGAGCCCGAAGTACCAGCATTGTCTAACGTGCGACCTCGATTATCGGATCTATATACCCCAGAGTAGCCTAGGAATAGAAAAAGGTGCCCGCTTTGGCTTAAAGGGGCTTATAAGGGAACCTGAACCCTAGAAAAAGGGAATAGGGGCCTACTCTAGGTCCTAGACTTTGGGGCCTACTCTAGGTCCTAGGCTATAAGTACCTAAATTGGGGTTATAAATATAGTTTCCTTGTTATAACGCTAGGTACTAAGTCCCATGACCCTTTAAGTGCCAGCGGCCGAGGATGTCAATATGCGCTGGCCGTGCGACCTGCGTTTGGTAAGATGGGGGCCTTCATACATCAACCAATTTCGGGGGGAGTGGGGGGGCAAAACCCTAAACCCTAAACCCTAAACCGCGCGGGTGTATATAATAGAAGGGGAGACCATGATGCAGTATTTAAGTATTCAGACTGTGATCTATTAAAGCCCATAGCCTCGATGTTCCTCGGACACTTCTCCTATCCACCCCCCAGGTTTCTCAGAGTCCCACAGAAGAAGCGGCTCTTTGCGTTTTGGTCCTCTTGCCAAGGTTTAGGGCAAGGCTGGGGCTCAGCCTTGCACCCCAAATCCGAAACTGTGAGTGTAGGGGCCTGAACTGTGGGAATGGAGTTGGGGTTTAGGGTTTAGGGTTTAGGGTTAACGGTTTAGGGTTTAGGGTTTAGGGTTTAGGGAACGGTGAGCAAGCTTCAAATCCTACCTTAGGGGTTTAGGGTTTAGACATGAGAAGGTTCATGCGACAGCGGCGTGTTCATGGCTAGCAGACCCAGTCAATGGCAGCAATACTTGGGAGTTTCCGAAAATACGGGACCCTCATATAGTACCTTAAGTAGTATAGGAGCCCTATATTACAAGGACCCCCAAGTAAGGTACCCCTAAGTTTCGGAAACTCCCACTTATGGAGGCAGCGTTGAGGTGTCACGCTGTCAGTAGACCTTCACCGGTCTCCTTGGACATGTAAAGTGCTTCCTAAAACCGACCCTTGACTTTGAGGGGCACGAGAGCACTTAAAGGATCATGGGACTTGGTAACTAGGGTTATAAGTAAGGTAACTATACTTATAAGTACTTATAACCCCGATTAAGGTACTTATAACCCTACTGTCCCATGATCCTCCAAGCATCCTCAACGTCACGGATTGCTGGAAAAGCAATGCTAGGATGCCCAGTAACCTAGGAATAAAAAGGGCTCCTTTTTGGTATTGGGTAACTGTATAAGGAACCTAGGACTACAAAAAGGGAATAAGGGTACTACTGGGCATCCTAGAATGAGAGAGATGTAATTGTTACTGCTGTTCGTGAAGCAGAGCAAGACAACAAGCCCTGTATCTGAGCTATCACTACGACGACGTGCAACAAGGTCAACAATCAGTCGTAAGCACCGTCCCCATTGTCATTGCATTCAACATAATCATTAAAAGTCTTGCACTGAACATGTCCTTCATGGTCGGCAATGGCATCATCACCAACATCAATATCGAGATTCAATCACCAAAGTCAACAACATCGCCATCGACAATCTTCAGGGACTAGTGACCAGGGCTGCTTCAAAGGTTACCGGGGCTATGGGCTGTGAAAACCGGCAAGATTCTGCAAGCATCACAATTTCCCAACCTCTCCGGCCGGAAGGCACAATAGGTCAGCAACCAGGTGATCCCAAGCACTAGGACCTCACCAGGGCAGATCAAGGCACTCTGTAGTTTTTGAAAGATTTTTCTTCTGGTTCCAATGTCTATGATTGCATATTGTTAGTGGCTGTTAGTGATCTGCTTGTTGTTATGGTGACTGCTACCGCAACTATGTATCCAAAAGCTCGCTCTTTACTGGCGCGTCTTGCGTGCGCTGAAACTGTTGCAGCTGCTTTCTGGTCGTTGAACCCAGAATCTTGCTACCGCAAACGGTTTCCTGTGATGGACAACATGTGGACGCTTTTCCTGTTGGTGGTGGTGACCATGGCGAAGATGATCAACACCGTGCCACTGAAGTCGGCCGCGAAGACGGTTATGATGGCAGGTACGGGTGAAGGGTACTGACGATGGATATTACGATGCTGATGGCCAAGTAATCATGGCAATACTCTTGATCATGGCGACGTTGGCGAATCTTGCGATGATGCAAATGTTCTTGAGGATGAGAACGATGCTGACGATGGACGGTGGGTAGCGGGAATTGTGCAGCAGTAGATTGCAGCAGTTGCAGCCGCTGACCACGATTCTCGTCACTTAGGGGGTAGGGGGGTATGGGACGATACTTCCTTGAATAGGCCTCATGAAAACCTTATCATAGGCATCAAGGCCCGCTACCCCCCCTAAGCGTACCCTAAACCCTAAACCCTGAACCCAAAACCCTATAAACCCTAAACCCTGAACCCTAAACCCTATAAACCCGAAACCCTGAACCCTAAACCCTATAAACCCTAAACCCTCAACCCTAAACCCTATAAACCCTAAACCCCATAAACCCTAAACCCTGAACCCTAAACCCTATAAACCCTAAACCCTGAACCCTAAACCCTATAAACCCTAAACCCTCAACCCTGAACCCTAAACCCTGAACCCTAAACCCTAAACCCTAAACCCTAAACCCTAAACCCTGAACCCTCAGCAGCAACATCGCCTTGCCGAGGCTGCAGGCGCCGATGACACCCAGGTCCAACGAGCCGAGCTCTGCCGTGGCGATGGTGTTGAAGATCAGCAGAGGAAAGGCCATCCTGAGATTTTGGGTAGGGTTTATGGTGTCAGGATTAGGTATAAGGGTGTAAGGATTAGGTGTTGAAGATCAACCGAGGGAAAGCCATCCTGAGATTTTTTGACTATATAATATAGGGGCCTGAGAAATAATACGGGTATAGTATACAGGGGAAAGGCCATCCTCAGATTTGTGGATGGTTTAGGGCTAAAGTTTAGGGTTTAAGGCTTAGGTGCTCAAGATCAACAGAGGAAAGGCCATCCGGAGATTTTCGGGAGGTTTGGGGTTCAGGGTACTTTTCTGTGTCTAAGTTGGGACTTAGTAAATAAGGTTGTAACTACCTTAATTGAGGTTATAAGTATAGTTACCCGAATTATAACCCTAGTTACTAAGTCCCATGATCCTTAAGTATCCCTAAAACCCCTCTTATAGAGCCCTTATGGATCCCTTTTAAGGAGCCCTGGAGTTACTTATAGAACCCGTTTAGATCCCCATTAAGGAGCCCTTCAAGGAACCCTGGTTACTAAGTCCCATGATCCCTTTCTCAGTAGGTGCTAAAAATCGGCAAAGGAAAGCGCCATCCTCATAGTTCTGTTTAACGTTTAGAGTGTGGCGGACTTTTGGTCGGGTTCCTGAAGCTTTCGGCTTGAGGGTTTGAGGTTTAGGGTTTAGGATTTAAGGTCTTGGGTTTGAGGTTTAGGTGTTAAAGATCAGCAAAGCAAAGGGCCATCCTGAGACTCTCGAGTGTACAAGTATAGGGCTTAAGTTTAAGATTTAGGTGTTGCAGATCAGAAGAGGGAAAGCAATCCTGAGACTTCTGTTTGACGTGCCACGGACTTTCTCGAACTCTTGAGATTTTTGAGGGTTTAGGTCAGAGTTTTGGTAGTTTAGGTGTTGAAAACAAGGACCTCCTGAGACTGTTAAGCTTTCTCCGATTGGTGGTTTTGTTGGGGGTATTGGTTTTGAATTCGGGGTTGTAAGCCTATGTTGATCGAAGGAAAGGCAGCCCCTGCAGACTTTTGTGTTCAGTGTTTAGGGCTAAAAGTCTAGGGGTTTAGGGCTAAAGGGGTTGGCTCGGGGTGGATTGAGAGGGCAAGGACATCGCAAGGTGTCGGATTCAGATTTCTTAGGGCTCGGTGCGGGGATGTTGACAAAAAAAACCCTAGACCCTCAACCCCTAAACCCTGACCCCTTAAACCTCTCAACCCTAAACCCTAAAGCGTAAACCTAGCCTCTTGCAGTTCTAGAGCAGCAAGACCCTTTCCGTCTAATCTACAGGGTTTAGGGGTTTAGGATTCAAGTAACGGTTCAGCATATCAAGCTTCAAGCATATGACCCCAAGGCCTATGTGCAAATCTCTAGGACGCCACCGAAATCCACTGATCCGAAAACCACAGAACAGCCCATAAGCAGGACATGACATGAACAACCAGACTGATGGTTCAGAGTTTTGGGTTTAAGGGCTTAGGGCCTCTCCTAATTAAGATGCAGCAAGGGTCTGTCCCGTAAACACGGCCATGCTTTGCAAGTGGCCCTGGCGACATCTCCGACCCTAAAAACATAAAGAACTAGCAGGGATTCGAGGCGAAGGATTGGTGCCTAGGGCTCTTGAGATTGCGGCCTAAAGTTTAGTAGGATGGCTCTGGGAGTAGGAATACGGGTTCAAAGATGAGGCGAAGTAGGAGCATTAGGGTACGCAGATGTGCGCCCTATGGTTATCATGGAGCCTCCACCTATAGTCTCCATTGCAGTTCCTTTTTGCTAGAAGATTCGTCTCATGCGAGCCTTGCCTTAAGATTGGTTAACCAGCAAAGAACTACTACAACGGAGACAATAAGTATAGACCTAACAGTCTGCGACGTGGTGCAGAGAGTGAGTGTGCGTGTGTGTGTGTGCTACTATGTATGTATGTACATATATATATATATATATATACACATGTGTATATAGCTATTTATGTATACACAAATACGGATATGCATACAGATATGGAACTAGGTGTTGTACATGTAGGTATAGTCTCCTCACATGGTTCAGGAAGGAGTTTAGGCAAGAACACCCCACACCAAGTTCCGAAAGGTCCCTTAAGGGAACCGTTATAGCATATCCCCTGTAAGGTACCTTAAAGGAACCCTCATCATGTGAACCCTTCGTCAGGTTGGCGGCTGAAACCCCTGAAGCACAGCCCTGGTCTCTGTTCTCAAGAAACGAAGTTCTTGTCCAATCCTGCCCGAAAAGCATAAAATAGGGGCCTAAAATCATTACTGTTTTGGGGCCATTAACAGTATGGGTAATTATTTAGGCTCCTAGAATAAGCTTCCGGGGCCTCAAGGTTAGGACGAGATACAGTTATGTTGCTTCAAGTGTTTTCAAGGGATCGGCTTTGAGGGTTTGGGGCAATGTGTGCTGCAGTCGACTCTTTCAAACTCGGTTTATCTTGACGACAGCAACTGCCGGTCTTACTGGCACTTGTGGATTCTTGTTCGTGCTGGGAGCTGTCCTTGCTGTGGGGATTACTCGGACATACAAAGAAGCAATGCTGTGTGTGGGGGGGGGGGCTGTATGCATATAGATATGTGTATCTCCGTAGCGCCGCTTTCGAATAACTCCTTGCAAGCGGGGAGGAAGGAGAGAGAAAGGGAGGCCAAGCACATAAAGCCGCCAAGAGCAAGCCTGGGTGCTGTGACCACGGCGTCCCTGCCTTGCAGGACATGGATTTGAAGAGCAGCAGGGGGAGCGGTGGAAGCTGGGTGGACATAGTGCCGGAGCCGCTCCTCCCGATCAACTGAAGTTTCCACGGCCTTCGTCCAGCTGTTTCCCCATCCTGACCTCCAGCTTTTTCCCAAGCTCAGCATGCATCTCAGCTGAGCACACAGCAACGTCGCCTGAGTGGCCAGGCTTCGGAAGTCAGCCTCTGCCTGACACCGGCATTTGAAGGACATGCTCCTCCAGTTTTGGTTGGGGTTTATGTAGGGGGTCAGGGCTTAAGTGTTTAAATTAGGGTTTAGGGTTTTGGGCTTAAGTATTCTAATTCGGGTTTAGGGCTTAAGTATTTTGATTAGGGTTTAGGGTCTTGGGCTGAAGTATTTTGATTAGGGATTAGGGTTTTAGGCTTTTGTATTTTAACTAGGCTTTAGGGTTTTGGGCTGCATATTTTTGATTAGGGTTCAGGGATTTGGGATTTAATGAAGGTTTAGGGTTTTGGGCTTAAATTAAGGTTTAGGGTTTCGGGCTTAAGTATTTTAAATACGGTTTCGGGTTTTACGGCTTGTTTTGTGCTTTTTTTTGATTAGGGTTTTGGGTTTGGGGCTTAACGACTTTAATTAGAGTTTAGGGTTCTGGGCTGAAGTATTTTAATTAGGGCTTAGGGTTTTGGGCTGAAGTATTTAAATAAGGGTTTATGAAAGGGGTCAGGGCTTTAGGGTATTTTGCGGGTTTCAGCGCTTGTGTGATTTGCAAGCAACAGCCGTGTAGAGCACGACGTTAGCTTCAAGCCTACAGTCGGCACCCTTGGCCAAAATGCACAAAACACCGAAGTCCAAACTACAAAAAGTTTGAACCCCAAACCGCGAAACCCTGAGACCCCAAACCTCAAACCCTATAAATCCTAAATCCTACAACCTAAACCCCAAAAACCCCAAGCCCAAAGCCAGCGCCTTCTGTGGATCCAAAAATTTAAAACGCACGCTGGCGAAGCCGAGTAAAATCGCAGCCATCGTCCTCAGAGAGGTCTGGCTTGAGAGCTTGGGGTGTAGGTTTAAGGGTGTAAGGTCTATATATATATATACACATACATATATGCATACATATATATATATATGTGTGTATGTGTTCGGTTTAGGGTTTAAGGTTTAAACAGTGTGAGAGGTCTATAGTTTAGCGGGCTGGGCCTCGAAGAGCGGGCTTTCAAAGCTTTGGGCATCCGCGGGGACTCAATAAGCTGCGAAGCTGCAGGAAGTAGGGTTTAGGGTTTAGGGTTTAAAGTAGTTGTCTGGTTAGGGAATGGGGGGAATGGATCCTTATAGTAGCCCCCAATACCCCATTCCCCCATTCCCTACTAAGAACCAGACAGGCAAATATGAAAGTGAGGCAGGTTGAATACGGATTCGGGGTGGAGGGGTTCAGAATGCTTCAGGGTTCCGGGCTCAGTCTATGTCTAGGGAGTCTTATGGGCGGATAGGGTTGCATTCTGTCCCAGCCTGGCCGTGTATTGCATTCAGCTGGAGGTCCTCTCGTAATCTTGACCAGTTTCGGGGGGAGAATCTCCAGATCACCTGTACGAAGTAGATAATTGCTTGCTATGCTTGCTGCCATCCAGACGGCGAGTGGTGCTGGTTTCGATGTTCTTGAGTTATGGAACCCTCGCCGTCGGTCCCTTGAGTGCCCCTGAAACGCCTATCAAACAACAAAGCCCTAAACCCCCAAAAGCAAGTGCCCTCCTAAACTTACCCCTAAACCCTGAACACTAAACCCGAAAATGCCAAACCCGAATCCGAAAATACCAAAACCCTACACCCTGCTCATGCCATGTCCTCCCTGCTGTCGGGGCCGGAAAGATGCTGAAGAAAAGCCTTATGTAGGTCCCTTAACAATTAGAATAGGGTTTGGGGGGCTCCTTATTGCCATTATAGCACCATATGCCCCCAAACCCTATTCGGATTATGAAGGCGCCTATATGGGAGTTTCCGAAAATAGGGGACCCTAATATAGTACCCTAAATAGTAGGATCCTAATATTATAAGGATCCCCAAAATACGGTACCCTAATTTTCGGAAGCTCCCATATCCCCTAATGATGGGAGGCCAAAAGGGGGGTTTAAGATTCTTGGGGTAGGGATTCCTTGATATGAACCCTATTATGGGAACCCTAATCCCTACTAAACCCCCGATAGGCTAAAACTCCTTTTGGCCTCCTATGACCTACATTAGGTCCCGAGGCCCCGGCACCAGGAGAGTGTTGAACAACCGGGCGGTTGGGCTTTGCATGGCCATGGCTCTTGCTGCAAAGTGTGGGTTCCTGAACTTCAGCGTGGCCCCTTTTTCGAAATTTGCCTTTTAAATGAAGGCTTTGGGAAATCTCCGCAACTAAGACAGGTCCTTGTGAGCCTAATGACGGCAAATACAGAAGAACATAAAATGTCTTTGGGCTGGGTGCGGGCGTCTTCTTCGACTCAGTGGTCCCCTTTTGGAGTCTTTGTGATACAGATGTGATCTTACTACTTTTGTTACGGTCTACAGTCCGGTCCGATAGTTGTTCAAAGTCACGTCTGCATTCTTGCAATGGTGCCTGCATGAATGTGACATTTGCAGGATACTGCAGGGTTTGTCACTCAGCCAAAGCTTCGGTGGCCTGGCCTAGATCTGGTTCATATTGCAAGCGGACGGTAAACCCTTCCCTGAGACCGCACCTAGGCTGCGGTTGCAGCAGGCATAAACTGTGCTAAAGCTGCAGGCAACAAGTCAAAGAAATAGCAGGTACAGTACAACGTTCGAAAGAAAGCGCAGTGCAGATGCTGCTGTACTTGGAGGATCATGGGACTTAGTATAGATTATAAGTACCTTAGTTGGGGTTATAAGTAGTTATAAGAATAGTTACTCTAACTATAACCCTAGTTACTAAGTCCCATGATCCTGTAAGTAGCCCTAGCCCCCCCCCTCTTATAGAACCCTTATAGATCCCTTTTAAGGAGCCCTTTAAGGAACCCTATAGTTACTAAGTCCCATGATCCTTTAAGTATCAGGACTGGCGGAGAGCTGATCCCCAGGTCCCACCCGAAGTTTAGGTCGAAATGGAACCATCAACCCACATGGGAGTTTCCGAATTTTAGGGGTACCTTATTTTGGGGTCCTTATAATAACGATCATATTATTTGGGGTACTATATTAGGGTCCCCTGATTTCGGAAACTCCCACATACGCGCAGTTTTCGCCTGAGCCACACCTGCGTTCGCTTCTTTGGGCAGAGACGGCTGTGCAAGTCCGACCTTTGAAGGGCCACCTTCAGCTGTTATGGTGGGCCTTGTGGTTACAGCTTGTTGCTGAGGGAAGACGTCTGACGAAGCAAAGTCTAGGAAAGCCTGGAATGTCTCGAATGCTTCACTTGGCGTGGTTATCTTCGACGAAGAATTAGTGGCGGAAGGATGAAAAAGGCTCGGGGCAGACTACCGGTAGCACTAAAAGTATTGGTCGTCGTAGTTGCCGTAACAGCAACATGCAGCAGGATCACAAGAACAAGCAGAGGTAGTGGCAATCGTTTTCGTGTTGCTTCCAACATGAGGTGTAGCGGCTGTAGCTGAACAAGTCGTCGACGTTGGTGTCAACATCCTTCCGGTCTTCGTTGTCGTCGTCGTCGTTGTCGTTGATGTGCAAGTCAGCGTACTTCTGCTTGTGCGGTAAGCTTTATGCAGCAGTGCTGTTCTTGCCAGGGTTTTTGGGTTCAGCGGATACTTTATTGCTTCCGGCGGCTCGGCTTCATAGGCAAGACTCGCAACTATACGCACACAGTGCCTGGACTCTGCGCAAAGCAATGCAACTC